TACTTCTAGGCGGCGGCAACACAAGCGCATTGTCAGTGTTGCTGCTTCGCAAACACCCGCTTAATCCGGAACTGCTTAATCTCAATACACTACTTTTGATACAATGAACATTATTTGTGATTACCGCTTTTTCGCAGCTCACCTACCTACCGAGACAGCCGTTCGCTATGAGCCGCAACCTATGAGCCATTTCATTGGTTTTTTTTTTGCGAAAATATTGCCATATTGCCATATTGCCGGGGATGTACCATAGTGGTGTATGTTTGTTTTTGTTTGGTTTATTTCTGATTATTCCGCCACGTGCGGAAAAGACTAACGAAGAAAGGTGAATCTAATGGCGATAATGTTACTATTGACACACAATTATTCTCAGGATTGGCCAACGTTCTGAGAATGTACAGTTCTAAGGATTGAAATAGATAGAACATTTTATATTATCTTTTATATATATTATCTATTTTTACATAACACGTATACATATACATATTTAACGAGAGTGGAACACATCATTTTAAGTTTACATAAAGCAGTTACACTTCTGTCACAGTTTACACAACGAATATCTAGGCTATTATTCTCCATTTCTCACTAGTTTCCAGCTCCAAACATTCAATGGGTGGCCCCAAAATGCACTTTCCATAATTCTTTGAGTTTTCCTTAAAGTAACGTTCAATTACATCGTGGAGTTCATCAATAGTTATAGAGAGCATTCGAGAACGATATTTCGTAAGCATCTCTTGCGATACATCATACAAAAAGTAATCCATCCCAATATTTCCAGGTGCAATTGGCGAATCCAGCTGCTGTAGTACTCCGAGTTTCGCCTCAAAAAGAGCCTGTTGATCAATCTGTTTATTCTCCGATTGCAGCCACTCATATGTTTTTTCAAACGCAACTAACGTTTTAGTTGAATGGGGGTCACGATAGCTGTAGAAGCTAAAAATTCCATCCGAACTTATTTTAGCGCCCGCTCCATAGGCCCCATTCTGTTCACGAACCACAGGCAGAAGATACTTAGACGACAAAAGCTTGGCAAGGACGCACAACGAGGGATGATCTTTATGCAAGTATGGAACTGCAAAGAATGCTTTTGCACAGTAGTTGACAGGAATGTTCATGAGGTATTGTTGACAGCTTGGATGCAAGAGAGTAATATCGCTGCTTTCGTTCAATTTTTCTAGAATGGGCATTTTATCCAAAAAATTGTTCAAATGGTCTACGGCCTTTGGTAGGTATGAATCTGAGCTGTTAATGGCCACACGCATATTGCTCTTATTAAAAACCTTTTTGCCAATTGACTTTAACTGGTCTCGAATGTCCGCTGTGTTGTTTTTCTGCACAAAATTCTTCATGAAATCTATGTGATCGATTCCTGACAACAGAGACTTCAATTTACTTGCACTGCTTACTAACGCGGCCGCTCCTACCATTGCATACAAGTGACCAGAGCTGGCAATGCCTATTGAAATATTGGATATATAATTTTCAATAAGCATTTTTAGACGGACCGTGTCTTCAAGCGTGAAGTTTTGCAGCAAATCTTGACACAATAAGAACATATCTGGCACATTTTTATCTAGTGCATGTGTTGTCATTATCAAGCTCAGCTGGTAGCTTTTCGCATCTTCAACATTTTCGACGAAATTTAGCTTGAAGTTAATTCCAGCAGTCTTAGAGAGCACAAGTTTGTCAAATTCACGAAAGTCATGCTTGATGGTTCCCATATCATTGATAATATTGCAAAATAGTGGAACGAGCTTAATTTCATCTTCACTGAGACCAGTTATATTAAATAGGCATTTCAAATAGGTTATCTCGTTGGTCGGAACTTCACAAATCTGAGTTTGAACTTCTTGAATAGTTTGGATTCTCAACTTTGGCCAAATCGGTGGTTCTTTCACATCGCTTAGCGATAGACAGGGCAAAAGGTTGGTATTCGGTGTGGCCTTTTGAGAGGCGTCCAATTTCAACCCATTCTGATATATTTCTTCCAACTTTTCATTATCGAGTTCATTAGTTTTGTGCTTTAGCATATCTAATTCAGCCTGTTTAAAGTTTTCGTCGTACAACTCGTCAGGCGACATCGTAAGTGTCAGTTTATGCAAGTTATTTTCAAAATATGTGTTCAATTTTTCTTGGAAGTAGTTCTTATTCTGCTTATAGCATGTTCGCAGCCTTGCTATCATATCCGAAACCCGAAGGTTGCCAACTACATCCCCTTCATGGTTCCACAATGCTGTTGAGTTAAATAACAAAGCTTTGCCAAAATGAGAACTTTGATGTTTTAGTGACAATTCAATATTGTGGAGAATACTTTCTACATGCTGGGACTCAAATCCCTCTTCCATGGCCTTACATATAGTAAGGCTAAAGAGGTCGTTGAACTTTTTGAAGTCTTCAACTCGCATGTCTTGCAATCCTACAACAAACGTCGTATCCTTGGTATCTGAAGAGTACCCAGTGCTCTGATTGTAGCCCCCGGAAAAGTTTGGTTCTATTAGGCTCTTGTAGAACGCAGAGTTAGGTCCACGGATCAATATTTCGGATAGGACGTTTAATTCAAACGTTTCTTGTATGTTGGTTATCTCGCACATAAGCAAAGCAATGGCAATTTGATTCTGTCGATCGAAAGCTGCGCCCATATTGTCCAGTCTGCTGGAAATGTGTACGTGTCGTGGCTGTGACCATCGCTGTTGTAGAGGGATACGGCTATAAGAGTTGTCTATTCTGGTGTGTAGAGATAAATATTCTTTATCAACAAGCGCGAGCGTCTTTGTCAAATCGAATGAACCATACGAGTAGATACGGGCGTTACTTGGATGATAGTATTTGCGATGGAATTCAATCAAGTCCGTGTGCGTTAATTTAGGTATCTCTAATGGATTTCCACCGTATACATGTCCATATGTGTGGTCGGGTAAAATATTATTGAGAAGATTCTGTCCAAAAACTAGAGAGTTCTCAGAAAACGCGCCTTTCATTTCATTATAAACCACACCCTTGATAACAAGTTTAGACTCCCGATTATGTAAGTCCTTATGTTCTAGTCGCCAACCCTCTTGAAGAAAATCCAAATGCGCAAGGTTAGGGCTATAATGAAGAGCTATCAGTATTTATGTACTATTATTTAATATATGCGGACTTACTTAAAAACAGCATCCAAGTAAATACGTTGTAAATTTCTATAGTCCACTTCATTCATAGTTGAAAAAGGATAGAGTGTGTAATCTGGACCTGTCATGGCATTCATGAACGTAGCTACAGAGCGATTAAGCATCTTAAAGAATGGGTCTCGGACTGGATAGTTTTTTGATCCACATAACGCTAGGTGTTCCAAAATATGCGGAAGACCAGTGGAATCAAAAGGTGTGGTCCGAAAATTAATTGAGAATACATTATTTGCGTCATTTCGGTCGATATGCCATAATTCCGTGCCAGTTCCTTCATGTCGCAGTGTATAGGACGTAAGATCAAAGTCAGGTATACGTTCGACGCGTTCACATTGGAATCCATGATACAGCTTGCCTTCATTAAATTTGTATACTTGCTTTTTTATTAAATGTGGGACTTGAATCTGAGATGAGGACGCAATATTTGCTTTCTTTGGATTTGCATCGCTTAACATGCCATCAAATTTGGACACAGATTTGCAATTGGTTCTTGACCGTTGAGCACGCAGCACAGTCGTCCTATGCGAAGCCAAACTCATAAATTTCAACCGTGAAAACATTGTATTTGGCTACGAATGATAAATTCACAATATAGATTTCAGATGAGATGATGAAACCATAAGACAGAATAACAACTAAATCGTAATGGCAATACACGTTTGAACTTCAGTTACATCAGCCGGCATTCATTGAATTCAGGTAAATATGTTATGTTCTATGTTAAAACATTAATATACATTAATAACCGATGACAAGATTCTATGAAATATGTATCCAGATAAATAGATATAGCTTGAAAATTGATTTATTTTCTACACCTTACCTATAATATCAAGCAAATATAGATTATTATTTTTAACAAAGTGTTCTGGTACTGAAGTTTGTGTGACCAAGTCTTTTTAATGAGACGACCGTAGTTATCGGTTTCAGCTGTTTGTGTAAACATACAAGAATACAATTTTAATAAAGATATTCAGCTAAGTGATTTTGTTGGAGCTGTAATTAATTGTAAGTCTATTAAATTATTTTATAAAATTTATAAAGTCCTTTTTTTTCCAACAAAGAGAATAACAAGATCGATGGATGAAACGAACCCGCCGCTCAAAGCGTCCCAATGTGCATGTGTGAGCACGCATTAGGCTGGTAGTGCGTTAGAGTACGTACCTGTAAAAGGCGGACGATTTTAAAGACAAAAATATATAAATATAAAATTCTTCTCTCTTATAAAATGTATTATGTACCCTCTCCCGAATATCGGCTAAATAAATTTAAGTCCGTTCGCACATGTATGCATTCGGGCTTCAACAAAATGATCTTATCTTCCATTATCTTAACTACATTGTGGATATTTTCGTACATATGTCAGCAGATCGCCATTATTCTATTACACAAAAATAGCATTTATATACAGGATTTGCAAAATAATATGGTTTGTGGCGACTTCCAGAAGGTGTTAAGAATAAAGTCAAAAAATGAAGCGCTGTAAAAGTATCGAATGGCACATCTCGAACACTCATTTATATGTACAATCGCCGAATGAACCGCCGCTGAACGTTTAGCGGTTGACTCTGCAGCCCGCTTTCTCTGGGTTTCGAACAACATTTTGAGTGAGCCTGGAGCCAGCCTAGGAGCCAGTAAAATTCGAGTGGCAAAAAACCGTGCTGCGTTTATATTAGTATTATCATATTGGTATCATATTAGTATTCTATTGTCCTTGGTATATGTAAGTACATCCCATGCAAATTAAAATAGATTTCAGGAGTACCTAGACTTTTTATTGCCTTATTTTATTTAGTATTTTTTTTAGAACATTTTTATCAGGTTTCGGTCTTGTTCTAGTTTGGAAGACAACGAACAACGATGAGTTCAGATATTGACCCTGATTATTCCACCCGCCGTCTGCGGCAAAGACAAACTAAGAAAGGCGAATCTAATGACGATAATGTTGCCAATGAATCAGAGAAGAACAAGCGAAGAGGAAAGAAAAGAGGTCCACATTACGGGAAAAATAGTGCTTATGATGAATATGGGATTATTCGCTACAATGGATTAGATATCTGCGACTGCATGAGCGCAAAGTGTGATGGATGCTGGTACGAATGTCAAAGTTGTGGCTCTACCAGGTGCGGTCCAACCTGTAGAGCTAATCGAAAGTTTTTCTACGAAGGAATTAACTACGACGGAAAGGACTTATCCATAACTAATCAATTCCTTCCGAAATGAACTGAACTAGTTTTAAAGCAGCTATGTACGTATGTATGTACATGACGCTGTTAAACTAAATCATGAGCTAAGTTACATACATATGTACCACTGTTTTTAAATACACATTTTTATGTAAATTTGATTCTATAAAAAACAACAACGGATCAACGTATTCGCATCCTAGCGGTAAAGATTTGGAACTACTGGTTGTTGGAAAATATTATATTTCTTAAACAAAAGCCGCTTGTTTTTCTGAGGGGTCCTTCAGGCATCTAAATATAACCAACGATTCTTCTGTGCCGTCGCCTTGGCACAGAGAAGATCGACAATTTTTCCTCGACTAGATCCAGAGAATAGGGTAGTTGAAGAAGCAGTTCGTATTCTAATATAAGGATTTTTGCCATGGAAACGGGACACGTCTGCACCGATGCATTATCCCGCTGAAAAAAATTTGTTTCTTGTGCAAATGTGGTCGTTTAATTTGTGGTTGGTATTCCAAAAAACTGGCTTTATAGCTTTGTTGGACGATTTTAGCTCAAAATTGTGGTCCAAAGGGGATCAGAAATAGCCGAGTCGATATAGCCATGTCTGTCTGTCCGTCCATCTTGATGAGCGCCTGGATAATAGAGCCTACAAAAGCAACATTTTGTATTGTTCCAAGTGTATTTCAAAATAGCGCCCACTAAAGGCGATAATCTGCTATATCCACAATTTAAAAGATAAGAGCAATCTAAAAATGCAATTACGTAGGGAATGACCAAGTCGTATAAGAAGAAAATTTGATAATTATTATAACCAGAATGAAGAAATTAATTGGCAGTGTTATCCCGTACCCCTTCCAGTGGCTTTTATTTTGCTTGCTTGTCATTCTTTCTCGCTAGCACGCTCTGCCTCATGCAGTGTGCCCCTCTGGGGGATGGTGGCAAGCAAAAAGGGCGTGCACGCAGGAGAAGTTTTGTTGATGTAGATGACAGATGAGGACAAAATGTAAAATACAAAATCCTAAAAAAAATGTTTAAGGTACAGATACATATTTACCATGCACTGACTGAGTACCGGTTATAAAAGCTGTGACGCGTACGAGCTTATGTGTTAAAAGTCGGTGAAGTTTTTGATATTTTTCTGTGGAACTAAGCAAGCTCAAAACGACTCGCAGGACTCATCCGTTAGGTAACCTGCAAGAGCAGATGCGAGGCAGTTTTACATAGGGCGCGGAAAGAGGAGAACACGACAGCTGCAATCTTCCAAAGAACCCCAAAGAACTGCCGTCCGACATTCTGGGAACACCAGGAGCCAATTCCCAAAACCCCAAAACCAACCAAAATTGTTCCCGTATTTTTGAAGATTCCGATCTAGATCCAAAAGCGGGAAGCTCGTGGGAAGGAGTCTTAGACAAATTTCACCATCTCGTGAGAGAGCTGGCAGCAGAAGTTTGAAAGGACTTGAAGGACGAGTTAGTGTCCCGGTTTCGTGAGTGGGTGGTCAATTCGACGGAAAAAATCTGGAGAATCGGTGGAAGATTCTTTTCGAGCAATGCTTGAGGACAAGATTCACCACACCCATAGCCGAGTCCTAAGTGGCTCGAGTCGTGAAGAAGGGACTCGAGGATGAGATCGCTCGTTACGTGTGCGTGATCCACATCTAAGAGGTGGAGTGCTCCAAAAGGCCCGTGCACGGTTAACGAAAAGGAGACAGGCTCGCAAAGAGACATGGAGCAAGCCATGTACTTGGGTATCGATTTCTGGAGATCTTTCGCAGATCAGCCAATATGCCGAAGATTGCCAGAAGAACGTGTTGAAGCTCGGGACCTGAAGGAAAAAGATGCTAAAGATGCTGGAGAGGGTGAAGAAGGAGTACTACGAGTCTGACGTACGAATATGCCGGACTAGGGTCAACGACGCTAGAGAAACATCGGATCTAGTTCGTGGAGGGCATTTCCCCTTAATCCCCAGCGATGCAGGAAGTGGTCTAGACAGAAGTGGACAAGATGCTGGAACTAGGAGTGATAGGCCTTGGCGCCGGTAGTGCGGTAACCCAACAAAAACAGGAAATGTATGTTGTTTGTACGCGCGAAAGTTGAACCAGCTCAACGTCAAAGACACTCACCCTCTTCCTAGCACCGTGGGAATACGGTCCAGGATTGACCAGACGCATTGCATATCGAGAGTCGACCTCAAAATTGCGTTCTGACAGATTAAGCAGAACTTAAACCGCGATCACCGTTTCAGGTCGTCCGTTATATCAATTCGTCATGTTGCCCTTTGGTCTGCGCAATGCGGCCCAGAGGTTTTGTAGGGTGATGGACAAAGTGATCCCGAGCCAGCTGAGATTAAACGTTTTTGTCTATTTGGATGATGTCTTGTTAATAGCTCCTGACTTTCAGACGCATCTGCGAACTGCAGAATGGTATAGGCGCTTCATCGCGGTGCCACTGACAGACACACCTTTGAAGGCCGTGCGGCTTCGAATTATGGAGAGGGAGCGGTGTTTTTTCACTAACCAAATAGTATAGCATCAATAGCCGAGTTGATTGAGCCATGTCTGTCTGTCTATCCCTCCGTCCGTCCGTTATGAGCTCCTGGATCTCAGAGACTATAAAAGCTAGAGCCACCAAATTTTGCATCCAGACTTCTGTATGCTAACACTGTTACAAGTGTATATCAAAAATGAGTTCCGCCCCCTTCCGCCCACGCAACAGGGCGAAAACCTCCCACAGCTACAATTTTGAGGGAATGACCATATCTATCAGATCACGGAATTGGGATGTGATTGGATCATTATTATAGAGATAATCAACTCAAATATTGAGATACTTCAGCGTTACCAATCAAAAACTTTGCAAAACTTTCAAGAAATTAAAGAAGAAATAAAGAAAACTAGTAAGAAATACATCGACAGACTCCACAACCACAAAAATAATTTAGCCTTAAGTCTATTAGACAATAGCCTAACAGTAAGAAGACTGAAAAGATACCACATTTCCGATATCCCTGATAGATAAATCCAAAAAACTGAAAAGATGTTATATATAATAGCAGGGCTCATTGGAAAACTGCTATTTCTGTTAATTGAATATTAATTATAAATTATATAAAAAAACAGATTGTAAATATAAAGAGAAAGAAAAAAAAAGAATCAAGAAAATGATTTTCATTGGCTAAACCCACCTCGTCCCGAAGCTTTTTTTTGCATATTCTCTCATCCACACTCTGCTTCGTGTAGTGAGCGGGTTCTGCCTCTGCAGACTGTGTCTCTTTGGGAGGGGCGCGCTAAAGGAGCGTGTTGGTGTGATAAGTGATGAAAGATGTAGAAAAATGTAAAATATAAAATTGAAAATTTTGAAAAATTTCGTTAAGGTACAGATGTTATTCTGAGTACCGGGTATAAAAATTATGACGCGGCTCACACGTCCCTTCTCGTTTACTTTAAATACACGTTTTTAAAAATTAAATCTTATACACATTTAAAAGTGAACTAGATTTTCAAGTTGGCTTCATGCGAAAACCAATTGATCAGATCTATATTGCAGTCGTACCGTCGACAATCGATCCAGGATGCTTCCTCCGCATATATGAAATTAGCAGCAACATCGAGTTTAGAGTTCAAACTAGATGTGGGACTGCAAGTAAAAATATAATGTTCAATATTAAAGAATCAATTTAGTCAGTTAAGAAAATCGCACCTTAATAGTAAATTAATTAGCTCAGCTCCAACACTGAAGTCCTTGGAAAATCCAATTCTTTTGGCTTCACAGATGGCTTGTAAAAGGCACTCGTGACCGTTGTAACCGTAGCTTAAATATAAATAATGGTTAAATATAATTAAAAACTTGTGCAACAACAGAATTCATATGAATATCACGCCATACCCGTTAAGCAAATATTCAATGACAGCGTATATATGCCAGCGTAGACGGGTGGGCTTATGGTACATTTTCCTTTCTTTTCCAGTTTTTAAAAACGTGTTGAGGTCATATTCGGGTAAAAAGGGGTTCTGGCGAAACACCGTAGCATTATAGGGTAGATGAAACTCTGCTTTCAATACGTAGCCCACGGTGAGCGATTCATAGTCGAGATTTGCTGGTATTCCTATTCCAGCAATGAACTAAACTATTTGGATAAAAATATTTATGCCTAAAGGTAAGTCTTTAATATACCCCACCTGATGTCTAGTTGGAGCTTGCCTTGGAAATATTAGGAAACGTTTAGCTCGCATATACATATCTATTTTTTTTGGTTTAAACGTTACAATAAGACATATTGTTAAGACCGAAGACCACACTCTCCTATTCATTTCGCTGACAGCACAATAACTGCTCTCAGAAAGACATCTGAAGTCAAAATACAAAATTTCTTTAACAATTAGCATTGAACTGCAAAACAGTCCAGAAATAACCAGGCTAACAGATTAGTATCACAGTCGTTAATACAGTAGTCAGAATTCGTAAGTGTTAAAAGTTCCAGTGGTTCTCTTATATCTATGTATGTACACATGTACTCATCAGGCGATGCCAATAGCGGCCTCTATTAAAATTACATTTGAGGCAGCCATGTTGGAAGCATGCAATGACTGCAGATCGCCGATGAAGAATCCAGTGGAGTAGAACACAGGACACAACGAAGACGACTTCAAATCGAAGCGGAAGGCCTTGAACTGAGCCATCAGGAAAAGCAAGGCTTAATGTTTTTGAGAGCTATCCGATGCAGCTTATTCCGAACCCTTTATGCTCCAAGAAGTGGTCCAAGATGGTCATGGGGAAGCTCTGAAGAAGGCCAATGCTTCCCAGTGCAACTTAGTTCATTACGAGAAAACTGTGCCTATCCCAGAGTGTAGTTTATTCGAGAGTGATACGTGATGGCAATCATCCGAAGCCATTCTCTGATTTTTACAGAACGAATAATATAATCGATTCTAAACAATACTGACATATTTATTTGCCTGATGAATTGCATAATTTATTGATTATGTAAAACTTTGAAGTCTATAGTATTTCTTGTAAATATGTATACATTTAAGACATACAAATTTTCAAAGCTGAGGGGAATACTTAGAAAAATACTAGTGAACTTCACTTAGGCATAGTTAGTTGTACAAATAAAAATGACACACACAAGTAAAATAAACTTACTAAAGAAATACACACGTACTTAACATAACTAAATCAAAATTTCGTTAATATGTAAATGTATGAGGACTGGATTTTTTTCTTTTTTTTAAAACTGAGCATTTGCATTATTCCATACATGTTTGGAATCGATAATGTAAGTTGTTTAATTGTGCTTGTGAAATTCCTCTATGCAAAGCTTGCAGCTCCAAGATCCTTCTGGTGGAGTAACGAGAGGCGGAGATAGGCAATACATGTGATATCCGCGATCACAATCGTCGCAAAATAAAAGCTGATCGTCATTGTCAGAGGTCCCACAAATGGAGCAATACTTGCATTCTATGCATTGCCAGCGATACCGTTTAACTGATATAATCATATTTGCTGTGAACTGCAAGCACGATGGATGACCAGAACGCCCACAGTCAGAACAGGAAACGAGCTCCTCTGGCATGCTAGTTTTTTTGTTTTCACGCTGATCGCCCAAGCAAAAGTCACAGTAGGGAGATGGTTGCGCCACTTCTCGTTCAACACGTTGTTTGAGCTTCTTTGGACTAGCGCCCGACGACCCAGCTGATACTGCTGCTGCTGGAGGGTTAACAGCGGAATATATAGGAGGTCCAGCAGAGACGTTTGATGATGCGGCTATCCCCATCCCTGCAATTCCAGCCATGGTTGCCAAGGGAATCGAGTCATTGGATGCTCCTGCATCACTTAAATTCTTGTCGTAGGATGAAGCAATGTTGGTCGGCATTACCAGAGCCGATTGGGAGGTTTCATCATTAATTGGAATAGGAGACGCTGAGTTTGAGTGCGATGCGTAGAGTCCTGTGGCTGCAGCTGCTGCCGTGTTAGCTGCGTGGGCAACTGCTGCTGCAGCAGCCGCTGCAGCTGCAGATGTGTTTCCACTGTTTCCGCCGCCTCGACGTCTCCGATCAGCTTCCCCATCAGCAATGTTTTTACGACGATTGCCTGTATCAATAAGCAGCTTTAGTGATCGTAAGGTCCAAGCTCATGAAATTAATTTGTTACTTACCACCGCCTTTGCGACCACGTTTAGGTGTACCTTCTACAGTCGCATTGGACCTCCGAGGTCGTGAGCTCCGCTTGCGTTTTCCCCTATTACTGTATGATTCATCAAACTCGTTATCCGAATCAAAGTCATCTTCATAGTCTTCGCCGCCATGATGATAGTGGGAGGAATCTATCTCGTCGTGGAACCACTCCTTTTCGACATTTGCATGTGAATCTTTACTATCATTGTCTCCTGACGCACCCATAGAATTTCCGTCAGTAGCAGCAATAGCTGAAAGACAAATATGATAATGGTAGCGCACAAATGCGAAAAATATCTTGTTTTAAAAATTGCAATATCCCAAAGTGACCTTCGTGATTTCTGGTTCGTAAATTGTTATTGATTTTTGATACTACTAAAGATAGTCCCTTACCAGCACTTTCAATCTGATGATGGTCACGTACACTGACTGTACATGTTGGTACATGGTGATGGTGATGCTGTTGGTGGTGGGTGTGGGAAATATGATGTTCTCGGTACTGATAGGCACGGTAGCTGTGATTTGGGTTAAGTAAATACTGTCGCTTCGGCTTACGCCAACGAGTTGATGGGTACGTATAAATCTGTCCATGGCGGAATCCTGGCATACGCTGTTTTTTCTTCATAAAGAGAGCACAGTGTGTCTGTGCAACTCCGGTTTGGGGGTCAAGAAATGGCATTCGAAGACGCCTTTCGATACAAAGTCGCGTGTTAAAGTTTTCGCTGTTTTCTAGAATCTCTTTATACCTTTCCTTGTCGTTCAGAAAATTTTGAATTCTCTCAAAGTTTCCAATGTTTACGACCAACGTTTTTTCAATTTCGGAAGCGGAAGCCATATTTGATGCGGTTGATGACGGCGTGCGAACGTTCAGACCATTCGAATTTAAGTGTCCCGTATTAAATGAACTCTTTTTCTCAAATTTTCTGCAGTCAATGAGATTTGGTTTAAAATAATAGATCATGCATTTTTCCCAATTGTATTCGTTGTACAAACATCTTTTTACAGTACAAAACAAAGGGACGCAGAACGAACACACAAACAAAATAAATTTTCTCGAAGTGGCAACGATACAAAAATTTCAGTATTTCGACTTTTTAAATATTTGGTATTTGAACGAAAAACTACCGCAGCTATTATTGATAAATAACAAAAATAAGGGTAGCCTTGTAAGAGTTTAGACCTTTTTTTGGGCCTACTTCTGGACGTTGATATGCAATGACTGCACCATCAAGTGGCCCATGCGACACCAAGCCTAAGCCTGTTAGGCGTGGAACCCAGCAGAACGCAGCCCTTCTCCCGCCCAACTGACCGAGGGGCGCAGCCGCATGACGTGCGGCTCAATTAACCGAACCGGTCGTGAGCATGCAGGAAAGATAAATGTTACGCTAATATTCGAGGAAAATTAGAGCTAAACACAACTATACTAGAGTAACTATAGCTAAGCAAGCAAAGATTACAAAAAAAAAATAAAAATAAAATGAAACTAACTACGGGAGAGGTAGGCTAGTATAAGAGATTTAAGAAGAGGAAGGGAGCCAGTGGAGGATATAATATGATAATATGATAAGGGCCATCAAATTCCTTTGACCGCCTCTTTATAAACCCCAGCACACCCATGGCTTTTTTTACCATCGTAAAAATGTGTTCAGAAAACTTTCACTTGCACAACACCATGACTGATCTGATTGCATGCGAGAGTGAAATTAAATGTCCTTATACTGGACACAGAGCTTAACATCATCCGCAGAGGGCAGATAATGATAATGAGTGTAAAAAGTAGGGGGCCTAGATGGCTACTCTGTGGTACTCCAGAAGTAACCATAACAGGTAAAGATAAGAAGTTTTTGAAGAGGACTCTTTGAGACCTGGACCACAGGTAGCTAGAAATCCATCTCAAACGATTGGTCGGAAACCCTAGAAGGCCAAACTTTTGTGAAAGAAGACAATGATTTACAGAATCGAATGACTTACTAAAGTCAGTGTAAATAACATCCGTCTGCAAGTTACCTTGGAAGCCTTTAATGATAAAGGAGGTGAACTCTAAATGATTAGTGGTTCTTGATCGTCGCAGTATAAATCCGTGCTGCTATTTTAGGAATAACGGATAACTTAGATATATCTCTATAGTTCTTGCTATCTTTCTTATGGAGAGGAAGTATAAAGGATTCCTTGCAGATAAAGGGAAAGTTAGAAGAATGAATGGATAGAGTGAATAATTTAAGCAAAGGTCCGCACAGAGACTCGGCGCAGTACCTGAGTACACAGCCGGGAACTCCGGCAGGGCCCGGTGAATATACCGGCTTAACTAATCGAAGATCATGAAGTAAGTAGCCTTCATTAAACAAAGGGCAGAAAATGCCATTCGACCTTGGTAAACTATATGGATACATGGGAATAGGTGGTTTCAAAAAATTGTGCAAAGAGATCGGCGATTGCCTGATCATTGTTCGCCGACATATTCAAAAATGAAAGCGAGGATGGATGTGCGGACGTTCTACGCTTACTGCTTACAAAGCTGTAAAACTGTTTAGGGTCCTATGAAAAACGTATCCTGCATCGAAGGAGGTAGTTCCTATAGCATTGAGCATTAAGAACAGTAAAATTTGACCGAGCTATTAAGTAATTAGAAAGAGAAGAGGGAGAACCAACTTCTTGAGATTTTTTAAATAGTCTTGATTTTAGATTTTTTAGACTTCTTTGGTGAACCAAGGAGGTTTCGCAGATCTAGTCGGACATGAGAGTGGGACACACGTGTCAAAAATTGTGTCAAGTACATTGTAAAACATGTTTTGTGCCTTCAAAGACGTCAGTGCACGAGGACAGAGCGGACCAATCAAAATCCCTAATTAAGTTATTGAGCTTCGTACACTCGGCTTTACCCGTACGATCCGATACAGTAGGTCCAATATCTACCGACACTTCGAAAGTAGGATGATAGCAGTCTTCAGGTATAGTGAGCGGGAGTGCTCGTGTTAACAACGCTACGGTCGGATCCGAGGCAAAGCACAGATCAAGCAATCGACCCAAGGAGTTTTTTACATGGTTGACTTGAGACAGGGACAGGTCTAATAGGCCATCAATAAAATCATGTTGGGACATGGGCACAAGGTTAATAGACTCGTTAACCGAAGACCAGACAGTACCTGGCAGGTTGAAATCCCCAAGAACTATTAAATGGTGTCTATCAGATAGCGAGGAAGAAACAGTTTTTAAGGCGGACAAGTGCGGCTCGTATATTAATACATCCTAAGTCGGTGGAATATACGACCAAGTGACATAAATAGACAGGCCGGGAAGAATCAGTCTAACACAGAGGAATTCCAGGTCTTGTGAGACCTAGACTATGAAAAGTTCCGACGTAAAGTAAGAGTTTACTGCAATCAAAACCCCTCCTCCACGTCGGGACGAACGATCATTCCTATAAATTGTGTACAGATCTGCCAAAACTTCGGAACTAAGAATGTCCGGCTTTAACCAGGTTTCGGTAAACACAAAACCATGTGATGAAAATGCAAAACTATCCATAACGAGAAGGGACGTGTGAGACGCTTCTTACGCGTTACAACTTTTATACCCGGCACTCAGTACTACATCTGCACCTTAGCGGTGTTTTGTCAAATTTAACATTTTTTCTTCATCTGTCATCTACATCTACAACACTTCTCACACCAACACGCTCCGTTAGCTCGGCCCCCTTCCATAGACCCACATACTGCTGACTCGCGGCAGGGCCAGAGGCAGCGACCGCACATAAAAAAAACGAATATAAGCTGCCCGTCCCGCAGCGCAGTGGGTTAAAAGTCGGCAGAGGCAGAGGCCGGGGGACGGCAGAGGCAGGGACCGAGTGAAGCAGAATCAGAGTGTGAATGAGAGTATGTGCAAGAAACACAAATAAGCTTCGGGACGGGGTGAGTTAGCCACTGGAAATTAATTTCTTCATTGTGCCTATAATAATGATCCAATCGGATCCCAATTTGGTGATCAGATAGATATGGCCATTTTCTACGGAATGGGGATTTTAGTTTTCTTTTATCTTTAAAATTGTAGATTTAGGAAGTTTTCGCCAATTCACATTAAACGTTGTGACGCGTAAGAAGCGTCTCACACGTCCTTTATCGTTTTTTTTGTGTGCGGGCACTGCCTCTGCCGCGAGTCTGCAGTGTGTGGGTCTAGGGAGGGGCGGCGAACAAACGGAGCGTGTTGGTGTGAGAAGTGTTGTAGATGTAGATGACAGATGAAAAAAAATTTACAATTTGACAGGTGCCGGGTATAAAAGTTGTGACGCGTAAGAAGCGTCTTACACGTCCCTTCTCGTGTCTTCCTATTTTCACTCCAAGAACAATTGCCGAATAAAACGAATGCAGTTCAAGAGGGCTAGAAAAGAGCATTATATGAAGAAGATTTAAAACTTATTAATGCAGTCGAACGAAAACTGCTTATATGGATATTACAATTCAGTAATTTTATACTCGGTACTCATATTATAAAATTTTAATCCAGAACGGATTAATCCAATAATGAGGTTCCTTCTCCATGCTTCGTTGCCCTCTAAGCTCCACATCCACTCTGAAATAACACACTCCTCCGACTTGCATAGAAAATTTGAAGTTTGAACTGATTTACTTTCTGTCACAAGAAAATTTACCGCATCTGGGTACACGGCTAGCGATACAGAATATATATAGACAGCAGTAGTAAACAAAAAATACTGATCAAAAATATATTTTAATTCATACGTATTTTATTTTAAAAAGCGGTATTTTTTTGTTAGACGGTTACACTACAGGGCGTGTGTTGTGTTTATGACGCAAAGGCTTGGGTGTTTTTTTTTCGGTTGTATAGTCAAACGGAAACTATCCCGCGATCGAAAATGGGGGCGTCGAACCGCAGTACGCAAGTGGCTCTTTGCGTTTCCGGGATTTCATTTCTGCTTTTTATCATTGCGTTTTCAACACCCTATTGGTTGGTTACAGATGGGCGTTTAGAAAAGCCACGCTTTACCAATCTGGGTTTATGGGAAGTGTGCTTCAATGATTTTCAGGACATTCACCGTTTCTACGACAACCCTTTCAACGGATGCATGTGGGTCTTTGAAGAGGAATACTACATCATACACGATTTTCTACTACCGGGGTTCTATGTAGCAGTGCAGCTATTTGCAACGCTTTGCTTCGTCATGTGCCTTATTGGCCTGCCTCTTACACTGGCCTTCTTGATGACCTCTCGCGACGATGATCGATACGTTGTGCTGCTACTGACCATTGGGACTTGCCAAGTGTTGGGCTCGATTTTTGGATTTATTGCAGTAGTAATTTTCGGTGCCAAGGGAGACTCTCGGGACTGGATGCCTGGATGGCAGAATAATGACATGGGCTGGTCGTTTGCGTTGGGCGTGGTTGGAGCTGTATTGTTGTTACCTGGAGGAATACTTTACATGGTTGAAGCCCGTCGCGAACGCTACAAGCGCCTCAACGAAATAAGTAATCGGGAAGTTAGCGAATACGGAGACGACTGCTATCAGCACCAGGCAAATGTCGAAACTACCCCGACTGCTCCATCACCGTCCCAATCTTACTTTGTACCAGAACCAAGCCGTCCGCGTCGTCCTCAGTCAGGACGTAAGCCTAACATTCCGCCACATGGAGGAATTCAAACAGATATATAACTGTTGAAGTCACCCAATCTAAACATATCTACATACATATTTTAGTAACGTCTCGATTAATAATTTTATCACGATTCATTCCTTCAATTAGAGTGTATCCAAGTGTAATCACTGTTAATTGAAACATATCCGTCCATTAATGCATATTATTTCAAATTGTACTACCACTATTTTAAGAAAACTCGAAATAAATTTAAAAAAACGTTTCAAACGTGGTTTGAGATAGTTTATTACCTGTTTTCATAATGTATAACAGATCGTTAACCCATATAAAGAATAATGTGGCTCTTTAACTTTTTCTGCTTAGAAACCCCTAGCTGAGATGTTTTTTACCTTAAACAAATTCATTTTACCTCCATTTCATTCATGTTTTTATGAAATTTTTGTTAAACATCATGTTGAACGTGTTGTTTTATTTATGTCGTGCGACTCTTCCATGCATCGCTGTGATGGTCCAGTACAGTCGTTACGATAACTTACAAGAAAAAGTTCACGCTGCTGTTCCTTTTCCTCAAGCTGTTCTCGCAAAAACTGGAGCACATCGGAATCAGTTCCCAATAACTCAGGCTGTGGAAGTTTGGAATCAAGATTATAGTAGTGCTGCCCTATACGACGCACTGCTATCCAGTGTCTTTTTCGTAATGGCAATGTTATTGTGCCGATCTTGTAATCTGATGGAATGTTGAGTATAAAACCCACAATTGAATCTAAGTCAATGCCAGACGGGTCTTTTCGTTTATCAAACCAAAAGGCCTCACAATTTCTTAGCTCTAAGGCGGTCATAATAACATTAATATCATAATTTCCGAGTCCAAGAAGGGATCGATGAGGATTTATCCATACGTTGGGACTTAAGTTAATGCATATATTGTCCAGCTCTTCCTTTCTGTAAATATGTTCTGGCAATACAGTTATTTTATACATACATACATATGTATATTAACATGCATATATTCATGTCAGTTTATCAGAATGGTATTCAAAAGCATTTCAGTGAAATGTAACTTACCTTGGAATATATTGTTGAGAGCGTGGAGGGCACACAATTGCTTTGTTTGCTTTTCATGATATATCTTTAAAATTGGCATGATGTTAATCAGTAGGCTTGATAAGAATTGTTGAAACAAAAAAAATTTAATTGGTGTAAGGGATATATGGTATATTTAGTACATTTCTTGGCGTTTTATATCAGTTTTAGGTATTTTACAGTCAATTTTAATAGAAGGCAAATGTAAAACAAAAGTATCAAAATAAGCTCTAAATAATTTGAACTAATGTAAAACCAAAATTTAATCGTAATACATACTGGGAATAAGGTGAAATTTAAAACTCCAGCGCTGTCATACATTCCGGTATTCCTATCATAGGTAAACTAGCCTTTGAAAATAGCTAGAAGTAGCCAGAAAACTTTGATGTCCGCTAAAAAAACGCTTGTGCTTTTGAGAACTTAACAAGTTCGTCAAACATATCGTCTTCTGCAGCTGAGCGTTGGTAAGTGTTATTGATCCCTATCTTTTTTACCCATGTTGATATAATTACCCAGCATAAACGAATTTTCACCTTATTTGAAGTTTATTATTTGTTATTTTTATACCCGGTACTCGAAGAGTAAATAGGGGATATTGTATTTGTGCACAAAGTATGTAACGCACTGAAGGAAACGTTTCCGACCCCATAAAGTATATATATTCGATTGAGCCATGTCTGTCTGTCCGTCCGTCTGTCCGTCCTATAAGAGCTAGAGCCACCAAATTTTTTATCCAGACTTCTGTATGCTCACACTGTTACAAGTGTAGAAAACCTCCCAAACCTAAAATTTTGAAGATAAACGAAAACAAAAACCACCATTGACCATATCATTATTATAGACATAATGAATAAATCAATTTACAATTTAAGCCCACCCTGTCCTGCAGCTTTTGTTGTTTTTTTTCACATTCTCTTATTTACACTCAGATTCGTGTAGTCAGCGGCCTCTGCCTCTGCCGCGAGTCTGCAGTGTTTGGGCCTCGGGAAGGGGGGAGAGCCAAAGGAGAGTGTTGGTGTGAGAAGTGTTGTAGATGTAGATGACAGATGAAGAAAAAATGTAAAATTTGACAAAACACCGCTAAGGTGCAGATTTAGAACTGAGTGCCGTGTATAAAAGTTGTGACACGTACGGAGAGCTGGAGTTTTTAAAGCGGTGCTTCTTTTGCTGCAAGGCTTTTCGGAGTTGGTCTTTACCCAGTTCCATCGGTCAAGTTGATGGCATCTAGGAAAAGCAAAAGATTAAAGTTTTTTACATTGTTGGGTTTATTTTCATTGCCTTTCCTTTAAATGAATAATTTTTGTTGACTAATTAAACATTAAACAATGAACACCAATGAACCAATGAACAAATCAAATTAATCTGTTGATGTAGATTCACTTGGTTCTGGTGATTGTCAATATGACAATCGTATGCTGAAATATAAATGTGTATGCCACCGGTTCATGTACCAGTAACAAAATATCGCCACAATCTGTACTTGAACAAATTGGGCTTCGGAGATGTGAATACGTCAGAGTTTTCTTTCGTACTGATTTTATTTGGTAAAATGTGAGGTATATATACAGTTTCTATTAGTACAATTATTTACTTAGGATCATAGGCTTGTTTAATTAGTTCTAAGTATAAGTAGGTATGGAAAGATATTTTTATGACTGTCGTAAAGCGATTATCATGCAGATGGTGTGACATTTTACAACTGCAGATCATCTCGAATGTAATTTATGACTGTGCTATCAATATAACAAGATTATGTGCATGCACGTGCATCCAGCTGTCTGTTGAATATTTATTTAGGTCAGCGGTGTATATTTCATTACTATTGGGTTAGTTTGAGAATATTTACCATACCAGGTCTAACCATACGGCTTGATTTTTAAATCTAAATCGTACAACCAACAACCAAAGCATTGTCTGAAAACACTATGCGGCAGAGCACCATCGTTTTTGGTTAGGTTCTCACTTCTTTTCTCTCCTTTTCTTCTTCTACCGGTGAGACGTTGCAGCCCATCGAACTAGTTCCCTATAATTATTTTATATTCTTTGAGTGGTTTGGAGTTCGCTTCCCATTGGGGCTTCTTCGGAAAGTAACCATGTACAGGCCAGCCACCACAGGTATTGCATAGCAAATTCCTATGTTTGGCTGGCTTTATACCCAGATGTCCAACATTTTCTTGTTACAGAAACAGGGAAGATTTTCCAATACAAACGATGAGAAATCAACCCTGTTTTTAGTTCGACAGAACACACTCAAATGGTGACATCTAAAAACGTACAAAAATTTGAAGGCAGATGTTTTAAAAAAGTTAAACTTACTGAGCCATCCCCTAATTTAAAATGTATTCCGCATGTGGCTAATGCAAAACGATAGATAAGTGAGAAAATAACTAAATTGGCATCACTGTCTCTGACCCCTGGATTTTACCTGGAAATATGATTACTCTGTGAAAAATATACCAGACGGATAACAAAATGTATTTTATATTTTTCTACGTACGGCTACACTGAAATTTGGTCACATGATATTCACCTGACAAGTTTTCTGTGTTTGGGGAAAAATTTTTACGAACAAGTAAACTTTAAGTAAAAAAAATCAAAAGACGGCAAAATGAAAATCTGTGGTCCAAAATTATCCCTTTGTGGTTTGATTATCTCCGTATGGGGAATTGTTCAACTGGTAAGTAAATTGGTTCTTCCAGCTGAATGTATGTGGTTTTAATCACAGCTGAAAGTCACAAGGTTTCAGTTGTCTCATGATATTTTTTATCAAATAAATTTTAATGTTACTTCGGTTTTAGGTGCTCATGGGGCTCTTTTTCTATATTAATAGTGTGGCCCTTATTGAGGATTTGCCCCTAGGAGAAGAGTACCATACTCTCGAAGAATTTTATGCAGCTGCGAATAGAGCGTACAATCAGGTTAGTTTATATCACGGGATAAATCGGTCTGCTTGACTTTAAAATGACCAAAAATGTGTATGTATGTGTGTGTACATAGCCATTAATAGCATACATAAGTACATAACGCATATCATATTTCGGCTCAACCAGTAATGTTTTGTTGCAGTAACAGGTATTGGTTTTTTTTCAGAACGCCTACAACTGCTGGATCGCAGCTTGCATTTACGTTTTAACATTGTTGCTCTCTGCGCAGCAATTCTACATGAATAGCAGAGTAACTGCTAATTAATTATTTCAGTTTAAGATTTCCAACTGGTACAACTGATATATAATTTACTGGTGTGTTCATTAAAGTTTGCACTAAAAAAGTATTGAAATGTTCAATTAAAGATATTTGTTAAACCCTTTACAATTATTGTTAATATTCGCTTACGTGATGTCGTTGAAGTATAATCTGGAGCATTTGCTGTAATCCTCACACAAAAGTCCACAGATATAAAGTTTGCACATGTAATATACTTAATTGTTTTCGTTCATAAAATACATTCCGTCTTGGTTTAATTATTTTCAAATATTCGCAGTAATGAGTAATGAGGCTCACAAAGGTGTCGCCGCCTCTTTGGACAAATGCAATGTAATGCATTGGACAAAAATTTATTTCTATGACATCCCTTATAATTAACATGTTTATGGAAGAATAAATATAAACTAACTTGATTAAATGCACTTTTATTTAGAATGCCATGAGATCTGGATGGGAAAAAGATTAGACGTTTGTGACTTAAGGATCATAATGATAATAGTGACTAGCTATGTATAAGTACAGATACAGGGTACAATTCAAAGACAAAGATCCTACCGTGTTGCATATGTGTATGCAGGGCGTTTTAAGCCCTATACTTATATACTTATTTTTGTTCCATTTAATAGAAATATGTTATTGTTGAGGCTGTGTTAAATACTTAATATACATTAAGTGCTTAATGTTTATTAAGTCCTTAACAACATAGGCTCAAAGGAATTTAAATTAGGGTATAGAATGCAAACGAGCTTGTAGTAGAAACCAAATACTGTAGTATTTTTGAGTTTACTTGCTATGCTTAACGAACGCAGACGCGCAGCCGACGACCTCCCAAGGGTCCCTAGGGTCATTCCATAGAGAATGGCGTTTTTAGATTTCTTTTATCTTCAAAATTGTAGCTTTGAGAGGTTTTCGCCTTTTTGCGGGGGGCGGGGCTAATTTTTGAAATACTGGTTTCAGTGTGAGCAGTCTGGATGCAAAATTTGATGGCTCTAGCTTTTACAGTGTCTGAGAACTAGCCGACAAACAAGACGGACAGACAGACATGGCTCTATCGATTCGGATATTGATGCTGATCAAGAATTTATATACTTTGTGGGGTCGGAAAGGTTTCCTTCTGTGCGTTACATACATCCACTTTGTACACATATACAATATATCCTATTTACTCTTCGAGTACCGGTTATAAAAACATATCGGTTAATTCATTAATTTCACTACAGAGGTGATTCGGGTAAAGAGCACTCAAAACGAGAAGGGACGTTTAAGACACTTCTTACGCGTCACAACTTTTATACCCGGCATTCAGTATTACCTACATGTGCACCTTATCCGTTATTTGTCAAATTTTACATTTTTTTTTCATCTGTCATCTACATCTAAAACACTTCTCACACCAACACGCTCCTTTAGCTCGCCGCCCTTCCCCTAGACCCACACACTGCAGACTCGCGGCAGAGGCAGAGGCAGCGCCCGCACACAAAAAAAACAAATATAAGCTGTGGGACGGGGTGGGTTAAAAGTCGGTAGAGGCATTAGCAGAGGGACGGCAGAGGCAGAGGCAGAGGCCGAGTGAAGCAGAAGCAGAGTGTGAATGAGAGAATGTGAAAAAACCAATATAAGCTGTGGGTTTAGGCACTGCAAATTGATTTCTTCATTCTGGCTATAATAATGATCCAATCGGATCCCAATTGATGATCTGATAGATATGGCCTTTCCCTACGAAATGGCGTTTTTAGTTATCGTTTATCTTCAAATTGTAGGTTTGGGAGGTTTTCGACATTTTGCGTGGGCGGAAGGTGGCGGGGCTCAAAAAATTAAATACACTTTTAACAGTGTGAGCATACAGAAGTATGGATGCAAAATGTGGTGGCTCTAGCTTTTATGGTCTCTGAGATCCAGGCGCTTAGACGGACGGACGGACGGACGGACAGACGGACAATCGACTCGCCTATTGATGCTGATCAAGAATACATATACTTTATGGGGTCGGAAACGTTTCCTTCTGTGCGTTACATACATTCACTTTGTGCTCAAATAAAAGATACCCTATTTAATCTTCGAGTACCGGGTATAAAAACAATTCGGGCTTACGGAAATACCAACAGCACATTAACTAAAAGGTTCTGTAAAAAACACAGAAAAAAACTGAATGTAAGCCAAAAATTTTATAAATAAATGGAAATCAAAAATGTTGCTCAATTTATCCTTGTCTTTTTTCTCAGAAAAACATACTTATTGATGCATTACTTTTTAAGGAAATGTATCGCTTATAAATAGGTTTGCTCTCGATGCTCTCTTCACTTACGCTTCTAAGACATATCCGTGTTGAAAACATCAGTTTTTTGTATGGAAAATCATCGCTTATGTCAGATAGGTAAATTACGCCTGGCATCGATGTGTAGTCGCTTATACAACGATGACCCTTACTGCAGGGTATATCTTCCAAAGTATAAGTGGCGTACTAGTTGGTGTTTGACTGCCTAAGGTATGGGTGGCGTACTAGATGGTGTTTGCGTGACTTGATCTTCTGAGATCGGGCGCTATTTATTCGTGGGATGACTTCGCGGATGTCTCTTTGCGATATCGTAGTCAGTACAATAGTTGAGAATATCTGTTAATGTATATTTGCCAAGCGGATATTATACCCGGTACTCGAAGAGTAAATAGGCTATACTGTATTTGTGGGGAATAACGGATGTTTGTAACGCACGTTTCCGACCCCATAAAGTATATATATATTCTTGATCAGCATCAATGGCCGAGTCGATAGAGCCATGTCTTTTTGTCCGTCCTTATGAGCGGCTAGTACTTAGAGACCATAAGAGATAGGGCATCCAGACTCGTATGCTCACACTGTTACAAGTGTATTTTAAAAATGAGCCCCGCGCCCTTTCGTCCCCACAAAGGGCGAAAATCTCCCGCAGCCACAATTTTGAAGTTAATAGAAAATTCTGTAGGGAATGACCATATCTATCAGATTACCGAATTGGAATCCGATTTGATTATTATTTTAGCCAGAATGAAGAAATTAATGTGCAGTGGCTAAACCCAACCCCGACGGGAGCTTCTTTTTGTTTGTTACACATTCTCTGCTGCTTCGCAGCAGTGTGAGGCTATACGGGAGGGGGGCGCTAAAAGAGCGTGTTGGCGTGAGAAGTGATGTATGTAGATGTAGATGACAGATGAAGAACAAAATTAAAATTTGAAAAAAACTGCTAAGGTACAGATGTATTACTGAGCACCGGGTAAAAAAGGTGTGACGCGTAAAAAGCGCCTCACACGTCCCTTCTAGTTTTGCTTGAGTAAAGCTTCGGCAGTGGGTTAGTGGGGGGTTTTATGCTTTTTAATCGTAATGATCGGAAATTATGCTAAAGTAGCTTTTGGTGAGTTGTTTCCGTAAATTTGCACCGTGCACCGTCTTATTTCTGTAGGTGGCAAGTGCAATGATCGTCAATTATCTTTCGCAATGTCGCGAGCTGGTAAACCATGAACTAAGTCATGCATTTTATGCTTACTTCGCAGCATATTTGTAAGCATTGGTTTGTGAGTTAATAGCTAAAATAGTGCATGTGACCGAACCATTGAGAAATGGTTCGTTACAGTAGTATAAGTCCTTTTTATACCCGGTACTCGAAGATGCTGGATGCCCCAGTGATATAGGAGTGGAACACCTGTTCTGCTCCTGCCCGGCCCTCAGCAGAACGCGACTAACACACCTTGGCTCGTCTTGAAAAATGTTAAAGAGTTCGAGTTTTTGTTCTGTGGTGATGCGTATACATATTTATTTACCTGAAGAATCTAACAAAGATAGATGTAATGTCAAGAACATTAATAATAAAAAAAATATGTAATAACGATTGCAGCGTCGATTCAGTCGTTAAATTTATTTTATTTATCAGGTTGACTTTAACAAGAAAGATCTCACGTGACCAGTATCCCGTTACCAAGGCGGTTGCCTCAGGAGTGTGTTTATTCACAGAGTGTACGTTGAATACTCTAATGAAAAATATTTGCAACGCCAAGTCAACTGTGGTTATTCATTATTTATATATCATTATATTTATATTTAAGAAATACAGTATTTACGAAATATATGAGCATAGAGAGGATACACAAAGTCAATTTATTTATTTTTTGGGGCAAGCTGAAAGACTCAAATTTGAAGGAAGGTATATGTGAGCTCAGAAGCAACACAAAAATGCCAAACGTCTCAAGCGCTAAAAATGAAAAATCAAGTCGAGAATAGATACACGCATTGCCATCATGTATGTACATATGTGTCACCGCAAACATGAAATTACGAATCAGACTTGAAAGGAAAAACAAAACTTTGTTTGCGTTTAATGCTCAAGAGAGCCAACGCCAAATCGTTTAGTCGGGGCCGAATTGGATCTTTTCTTCGTTTTTGGTTGCAAAAACGCACAAAAAGATTCTCACAAGCCTTGGCCTAGCGGCTCTTCCAAATTGGTTGACAAACTGGTCGACTTTGCTCAAATAAGCCAAGCGAGCATATTTTCATAAATATATATCATCTGTATTCCCCAATCAGCAGACAACAGAAGCAGGCAGAGAGAGAAACAACATTCAAATCTCTAACAGACATTTTTTCGGCTTTAATTGTTGTTCGAATATCAAAAGTTTCATGAGAGCCGAAACCACATTTTGAATTTTGATTGGTTGAAAGTTGAAAACGCGTAAAAAGTCGGAAAAAAGTATTAACTGAATCGATTTTTCTTGTATAAATGTTTCTTGTATGGACCAGAATAGTATTCAGTATTCAGTTTTCGAATAGCAACATGGATCTAAGGACACTGCGGACTATCTTCCTTGATATGGACATTTTCCGAGGACGAGAAAGGGACATCAACCAAGCATGTTAGGCGAACGTCGCAAAAACAGCAATTAGGACTACAGGCAGCCCGTTTTCTTGGTCATGGACGAGTACCACTTCCCTCCAATACGACGCAAGTTGGACCTGGATGGAATCCCATTAAGCCTGACGCACATACATAGTGGAAGGAGTGAGGATTTCGGAAAATCGCTAAGGATCAATATTCTGTAGGTATTCCGGACTATTAATACAAATCATCCAGAAATATTGTCAAACGCGTCGGACTAGATTCAAACTTTTAGCTGGGTGCTGAGCACGCATGCATAAGTAAGTATGCATGTATGACCACGGTTGAAAGTGAAAATGGCCAAACGGTAAGTAATTATAATTATAATTATTTAATTTGTTTATATATATATATTTATTTATATATATTAATTATATAAATTTGGTTTTGTGTGTTATATTAAAGAACTAATTCTATATTTGCAGTTTAAAAGTAGCTCTTATTGGCTACGGAATTGACGAAATCATCGAACTTGTCAATCGAACTGCCGATCCCGCTGCAACTCCGCCGCCCCAAACACCGGCGGTTGTGCAGTTAACAAGCGCAGCGTCTGCACAAGAGGACAGCAGTCCGCCGCCGCCAGAATGTCTCGAAATTTTGGAAAACGTTTTGATAGGTAAGGTAGAAATTTTATAGTATTTGAAAATCTATACAACGAACACTTCTTTTTGCAGAATCCCCAATACCCGAAAAGGCGCCAGATTCTGAGGCGGGTGAATTACTGGGACCAAAAGTCGGTAGGTCCATGTATGTCCGAACAATTTTGCCAAAGCCCAACCTAACATCAGGCTTGAGGACGGGCAGCACAAACACACATGCCAGCAAGGAAAAGAGCAACGACAACTCTTCATATATGCAATCTTCTTGCTTGGCGGTCTCCGACTCTGTCAAAGAAACCCGACAACGATCTTTCTTCAAAAGATATGTCAAACTCCCTCAGGGCTTCGAAGAGGCGCCAGGATTTTTTTATGCGCAGCAGTGCCCAGGACACTGCGGTCATTGCGACAGGAACGCAAGCAACAGCATACGACACACTACGGTTTGCTATCTTACCATACGTATGCCTACAGTGTGGCCTTTGCGCAGAAACTTTAAGACAAAGGGCAGGACATCGAAAATGCCCGAAACCAGGACGAACGGCTGTCCAGTATTTATTATGGTATTAGTGTGCTTTACAATAATTAAATAATAAATAAATATAAATAAATAATAAAACAAATAAATAAAATTCAATTTTAAAATTAATGTTCAATTTAATTATTGTTTTCCTTCTCAACTGCATTTATTTAAATCAAGTACGTATTTCCCGCCATGTACTTTGAAATTCAATATCGAAAATAAATACTTTTAATACTTTTTTCCGACTTTTTAAGCGTTTTAAAAATTTCAAAAATTCAAAATTGGTTCCGGCTCTCACGAAAAAATGTATATTTTCTTCTGCTTTCTTGCATGCGTGTATGCGTGAATGGGAAGGGGGAAATACTCCTGCTGGAGAAGGCTCTCTCACCAAGAGCCGAAGGCACTGGGAGCCAATCCACTATACTGATTAGGCCGCCAGTTTTTACTACGTTTGAACACTCTATGAGTTGTTTGCTTAATGGTTTTATAGTATTTTGTGTAAATAAATGTTTTCTCTGTCTTGGTTACTGAGTAGATAATTCAATTTGATTGTCTTTCAGAAAACAGCAAATTTTATATTTTCGGATAAGAAACACAGTGTTCCGACTATCAGCAATAGTCGAAAAAAACTATTTGGAGGCAACTGGGTGACATTTTGCAATTTTCAAGTCTACATTTTTAGAATTGCCTTGCAAAATAGTTAATAGTTAAAAAAAGCGGTTTTTTCAGTTTAAGAAACTTTACAAAGTCGATGGAAAAAAGATTTAAGATTCAAACGAAATTTAGATTCAATCTGTCAGTTAGAACAAAATATATTAAAATAGTTTTAATTGGTTGAAGATTTCGATTCATTAACAACGATTGCTATTAGGTTATGTTATCCCGGACAGGCCCTCAAAGAGGCCTAGCATAGGCAGGGTGGGTTTTAGTTATCCGGGGGCCATGACTAGGCCATGACGAGCTAATAGAGCGTGTTGGCTTGGAAGTAGATAACATACAATGTAGAAAAAATGTAAGATGGAACATTAAAACTTTGAAATAACCACTAAGGTACAGATGTACTACTGAGTACCGGGTATAAAAGTTGTAAAGCGTAAGAAGCATCTCACACATCCCTTCTCGCTTTTATTTGAAAAGGTGCATGTATGTATTTAATTAAACAATTTTTAAAATTAGTTTGTAATATTCATAGGGATATGTAAACTATGCGGCTTAAAATTATAGGTGCTATTAGGTTTACACAAAATCAAATCCTTTTACCCACAGGGATTTAGGTCTGCTTTAAATATGTTTTTATATATTTATTTACTGGTTCTCTTATAAGTATTTAACGAAAATAATAAATACGCGGCACCAAAACATTAGGAGGTTCTTTTAGAGTGGTGGAATTAGATTAGATTAAATTATCCGAAATTTATTCGCTCCTGATTGCGACTCGATGATCGTGAAGATTTTCGATTGATTGATTCCAAATACGCGGATGGGGTCCAGCCTTCGGAATTGACATCTGTGAATGTGCAAACATAAATATTATGATTATGTCTATAGATGCAACAAATATTTGTAAAATAAGTAAACAAATGAGGTATTTTTTTATGTAATTTGGTTGGTACATGCGTTAAATTTGAACATTTACCTAAGATTCGTACAAACCACCAGCCGGCACAGCCCACTTTAAGCAGCTCGACAGTTTCCCCTTCACGCATCGAAACTTCCGAGTGTCCCATTGCAGTATAGTCAGCCAAGGCAATGAATTTACTGCCCTGTATTATAATTCCCGAAAAGTTTTAGTATATATAACGTATGCAAGAAACAATGTAATGAGATCTTTATATATTCTAAATGAATAAGGTTAGTATTAAATTTGTAGTAGGGATAAACTAGTTATATATGTACATATGCAAACTTATGTAGAGCACATGTCGCCACAAGTAATGCTACTAAGTGAGACAGCTTTTAGTAAGAAACTATTGATTTTCCGGGGTTCTACTCAGCATGTCGACATAGGCGATATACTCCAATAAATATGTACATACATACACAGATATGATTTGTATTTTGACAGTACGGAATAGTATATTGACAGGAAAATTGTAATCTTGTATGGAGGAGAATTTAGTAATGGCCTTAAAGCTTCCAGAGAATTAAAAAAAAATAAGCATTTTAGATATATGTACATGCATACATACATACATATATGCATGTACATTTGTACGTGTGCATGTGGCAGTGAATAGAATAGACTTTCGCCAAAATAAAATAATCAAACCTAGTATTTATTGCAAAAGTCGAAAATATTTATGTTCAATTGGGATATAATGAATATACGCAATAGTCGTTTACATTGCCGCAGCACGCTGCTGGCGCCGATGTTTGCCTTTTCTGGCCCGCCACCGCCGAACCACTTAAATAAAGGCGACTCGGCTTTCGGCGTCTAAACTCTTTATACAAATTTTATAAACAAAAACGAGAAGGGACGTGTGAGACGCTTCTTACGCGTCACAACTTTTATACCCGGTACTCAGTACTACTTCTGCACCTTAGCGGTGTTTTGCCAAATTTCACATTTTTTCTTCATCTGTCATATACATCTACAACACTTCTCACACCAACACGCTCATTTAGCTCGCCCCCCTTCCCTAGACTCGCGGCAGAGGCAGCGCCGGCACACAAAAAGAAACATAAGTAAGCTGCGGGACGGGGTGGCAGAGGCAGAGGCCGAGTAAAGCAGAAGCAGAGTGTGAATGAGAGAATGTAAAAAAGAACAACAAAAGCTGCGGAACAGGGTGGATTTAGCCACTAGAAATTAATTTCTTCATTGTGGCTATAATAATGATCCAATTGGATCCGGAATGGCGTTTTTAGTTTTCTTTTATCTTCAAAATTGTAGGTTTGGGAGGTTTCGCCCTTTTGCGGGGGCGGGGCTCATTTTTGAAATACACTGGTTTTAGTGTGAGCATACTGCAGTCTAGAGCCAACTTATAACAACTCTTATAGTCTCTGAGAACTAGCCGACGGACAGACGGACAGACAGACATGGCTCTATGACTCGGCTATTGATGCTGATCAAGAATATATATACTTTATGGGATCGGAAACGTTTCCTTCTGTGCGTTACACACAACTGTTATTCACACAAATACAATATAATCTAATTACTCCGAGTACCGGGTATAAAAAATACTGGACCATTTTCCTAAAATTTTTTTTAGATAATTTATGTTTAAACGACTATGTAGACGAATTTTTCGTAGAACCAGTTCTAAGTTACCCTTCAATAAGTTTAAATAATTATTTTCCGACAGAATTATATTAAAATGGGTTGTAATTGTTTTTTTTTAACTCGGTGGACCTCGTCAGAGAAAATCGTATATGTAAGTTAACAAGTCTGTGAAGTATTACTTTTAATTTGTTTTAAATGCATTGTTTTTTTTAACTATCAATTAAACCGTGGAAGTCACATTTTTTTTTATTTTAGAATCAAGTGTATTCATATTAATATTTATTAATATATATATATTCTATTATATTTAAATATTATTATATTTGTATTAATATATTGAGCTCTCTTTCTTTTATTAATTTAACAAGCTGAAATTTCCCGTTGTGTGACTGGCCTGAGTCTCGAGGGGGTCTCGGTCGGAGACGAAGCACATTACTCGACACGATTTCTCCGCTTCGAACCAACCTAATTTTTTCTGAACGATATGGGGCTTAGAAATGGTTCAATGATAATTTCTTGTTTCCTGTCAAACATGATTTTAAATATCTTTTAAAATCCGTTTTTTTAGCACTTCTTGAAATTGTTCAACCATACCTAAAAACACGTATTTTTCAACATTTTTCGAGTACTTAAAGCAGAAATACTCTGGCAGTTGGGCGCGCAACCCTCCAACTCTCCATCGATTTTGATGAGCAACACCTTAAACGACGCCGAATAAATGCACACAGGATAAGAGGACACAGGAAAAACAAAATGTCGTAAAAAATAAAGTACAAATATCAACAATTTTTCATTTCAAAACTTAAACGGTAAGCTAAAACCACAAAGTGTTTGGGTATACATAATAGAATTAAACATTAAACAAAAATTTAAAGCCCTCAGTCAATTCACGGTTATCTCTACAAAGTAAACAAAAGCTGTCAATCCATACAATTTCTAGCATCTTTAACTTATCTGTTACGCATATTCTAATTCAAATTTCGTTTATTACTTGGCTTGGCTTTAAAATATATTGTTGATCGAATGAAACATAGAAAAATTAATTTGATTTGCTGTTTCCTGCATCTGTGGTCCCACATGATGGACCATCTTTACGTTTTGTCACATACTGTGTAAGACTAAGTGAAATNTAGAATTAATCATTAAACAAAAATTTAAAGCCCTCAGTCAATTCACGGTTATCTCTACAAAGTAAACAAAAGCTGTCAATCCATACAATTTCTAGCATCTTTAACTTATCTGTTACGCATATTCTAATTCAAATTTCGTTTATTACTTGGCTTGGCTTTAAAATATATTGTTGATCGAATGAAACATAGAAAAATTAATTTGATTTGCTGTTTCCTGCATCTGTGGTCCCACATGATGGACCATCTTTACGTTTTGTCACATACTGTGTAAGACTAAGTGAAATAGTTCAGATTTCGCACAATTTATCAGGAATATTTTGGTTTTTATTATGTTTTATGGTTTGTACATGAAAATAAAGAAAAAAACCAAGAATATACAACTAAATAAAAACAAATTACATTTTTTTTTTATAAATTTAATGAATATAGTCGTTTTAGAAAGAATATGCAAGCTTCCCTTATTGGAAATATCGTCCCCAATTTTTTTGATTGCCGGTTAAATTACTCCAAATTATGTTTTTTGGACATTCCATTCATTTCCAGCTCCTTGTTTGCAGAAGTTCAATAAAATGAATCCCTAGAGGAATGAATCCCGAAAAATCCAGCAGAACAAAAAACGGGTATTTCATAAGCAGATATGGCTCGCAACTTTGGATACCTCTCAATATTTTCCTATAAGCTGGAATATTTAACATGCTTACAAAAATATATGCGTTT